GTAAGGGGTGGGGATGAGAAGCTGATGAGTGGGTGTCCTTTCTCATACTTATTACCTTAAAGTGCCTGTCTTAACCCTACATAATTCTGTTCAACCGCAGAAGTGGGTCTTGGATTGAAATCCAATTACACAGCCCAGTACTGCATATAAGCATAATCAATGGACACAGACAATAGGAGGCTGAAGGCCTGTGCGGGGGTGGGGGGGGTGGGGGGGGTGGGGAGGGTGGGCTAGGAGATGTCAATGGCGGGAAAAGGGGACATATGTAATACTTTCAACAATAAAGAATTAAAAAAATATCCAAGTACTAACATGAACCCTCAGAAGTCGTTCTATGTCACTTCCCTCCTCTGAGCCTCAGTTTTCACATCTATAAAATGGCAATAGGCCCACTTTAATGAGGCCATGGTCAGCATGCAAGGAGTGACAATTACTATTGCAAAGGAAGGGCAACATGATGGTGGTGCCAATGGTGATGACCTCGGGGCCCTAGAAGTGGAATGACTGGGTGAAGAGCTAAGCGCTCTGAGACGATTCAATTGGTCTGAAACCTGAAAACTGGGCAGAGTCTATTAATCCAGACTGAAGCCCTTGTCCAACTGACTCTCACCTGTTCTCTCTCCTGCTGTGGTCCACCTGTGCCCATTACACCTACCAGCCTGGCTTCTCCACCCTCCACCCTCCACACACACACGCGCGCGCACACACACACACTGCACTTTCCAGTCTTCAGGTCTTTGCCTACTCTGTCCCCCACCTCACCCACTGCCTGTCTGTTTCTCCATCTCCCATCACCTCACTCTGGCCGGTGCCCCTGTGGGGCCCACCTGGCTGTGCGGAAGACCAGGCTGCTGCCCGGGCCCCTCTCGTCCTCCTGCAGGTGCTGGGAGGCCATCAGGAGGCTGTAGTCCAGCAGGTTGAGGTCCCGGAGGAAGGCGGTGTCCAGCTCCATCTGCCGGAGAGCCAGCTCCGCTGGGGCCCTGAGGGAGCATCAGCATCCGCCTGAGTGCCCGGCGTGTTCGAGCAGTGCTGAGGCTCCACACCCACCTGCCCCAAAGGGTAGGTGTCATTACTGCCCCATGTCACAGATGAGGACACTCCTCTGTAATCTGCCTTGGCCAACTAGCTGGTAAATTGTGGAGCCGGGATTTGAACCCGAATCTGGGTTCTTAACGACTTGGACAGAGGGCTGTGCCAAGGACACCCTCCACCTTCCCCCCAAACAGAGGCAGAGCAGGCAGTAAGGGCTCTGCGGCTCACCCAGGTCGATGGTCTTGCCCTGAAAGTTGAGGTCCTTCAGCACCAAGACCAGGGGGCTGCCCTCAGGGGCCGGCTCCACCCAGCGGCTCACCTCGCAGCCCTTGATGTCATATCTGGAGGCAAGGATTTGGGGGACACAACAGAATTCAGCTTTCCACAGACTTGGGGCACACGGGGACTCTCCCAGGTAATAACAAGACAGGAGCTTCCACTGGTGACTGTCCAGATCCGCAGCACAACCCCATTCTCTCTCCCTGGGCCTCGGTTCCACCATCTACCTGGGGAGTGTGGCTGCCTCCGGTGGCTCATTCCGAGCAGGACGGGACCCAGGCCCTGCGAGGCCAACTCACCTCTCGGCGATGCGGCCGGCGGGGTAGAAGACGCTCTGCATGATGATGAAGTATTTCTGGGGACGGGGTAGGGAGTGAGGAAGGACAGGATCTCCCCCGCAGCCACCCCTCCGGCCCGGCCCCTGCCTCGGCCTCACCCACCTTCTTGCCCCGGGCCACCCGCAGGCTGTGCACTCCTGGAAGGGGACAGGGCGCCAGGTGAGGGGCCCCAAACTCTGCCGTCCGGGGTCCCTGGGGCCCTGGTCCCAGCATCCAGGCCACGCCTCCTCAGTGCCGTCGCATCCCGAGCCCCCAGACCCCTTCCTCAGCTTGTGTGGTGTTGCGGACTCCATCCACCTCTAGACTCAGCCCCAGAGATGCCGGGTCTGGCATGGCTTCGACACACATGCCCTGCCCAGGACGGTCCAATCCCAATCCCAACCTCACCCTTTGGGCTCCACCCGCCGCCCCACCTGCCCACTCCCTGTCCCTACCGCCCTGCACCGAACTCTGCGGGCAGTTGGATCCGCCTCTAGTCCAGTCCCAACCACCTGGCTAGACTCAGGTACCCCACACCCCTGGAACATCCCCACTCCCTGAACCCCTCCCCTCCTCTCCCCCCCCTCCCCCCCAGTGCCGGGTCCCTGGCCCATCCTACCCAGCAACCGCGCCAGGAGCGAGTGCGGGTGCCGCTGCAGGTGCTGCAGGTAGCGGGGCAGGTGGGCGAGCAGCTCCCGCACCTCCCTGCGCCGCTGGGTCTTCAGGAAGAAGCGCTGGTCATGGCTGGTGCGGGGGCAGGGAGAGGTCACTCTAGGCCGGGCTGGAGGGTCCCACAGGCTCCCTGACCCTCCTGTCCATGTGTGGTTGCCTCCCCAGGGCCAGGCCCTCGCCCTCAGTCTCTCCTCTGACCTGGCTGTTCTATTTCTCTCCCCAAATGCCACCCTCCACCCTGGGACACCACTCCCACCCTGCCCCACCCTGCTGCCCGCTCACGACAGGAAGAAGCTGGCGTTGCTCTTGGAGGTGCTGAGGAACTGCAGGTAGGGGCCCCCGGGCCCCAGGGCGGCCTGATAGTCCTCCTCGGCCAGGCCTAGGGAGTGGCGCAGCCAGGCGAAGGCAGGGCCAGCCAGGGTGCCCAGCTCGAAGCCCTGCAGCAGAGGAAGAGCAGCCCCAGAGTGTGCACCGGGGTCCCGGTGTGTGCAGTTGGCCCTGGTGCGGGACGGTCAAGGGAGCCACACCCCCTGGAAGGCTGTGAGGCTCCGTACCGGTGGGGGAACCGAGGAGAGAGAACTAAGATGGCATCCGCCCCTCCCTGCACAGTCTGAGGCTTCCTACCTTGTGAACCTGGGTCAGGACCTCGGAGAAGTCGTCCTCAGTGGGCAGCCCCTGCAGGGAGGGGCAGAAGGCTCAGAGCAAGTCTCAGCCCCCGCCCCCCGCCGCCAGCCCCAGGATCTCCAAGCGGCCGCACCTGGCCTCCCCCCTTCCCCCAATTTGATTCCTGAGTTGGGCAGGTGGGGGCTGCAGACCCTCTCAGGCTGCAGGAGGATGAGCGAGTGACCTGAGGCAGGTCCTGGGTATGACTCCTCCACAGCTGGGTCCCCAACACCTGGCACATTCGCCCAGACATGGATGTCATCCGAATAAAAGATGATGGCCTTGAAGGCCAGGGGCCTGCCTGACTCAGCCTGGGAGGGGCAGATCAGAGAGGGCTCCCTGGGGGAGGTGACCTGCAAACTGAAGTCTGACGGGCAGTGGAGAGGAGGAGGAGGGTGCTCCTAGCAGTGGGAACTGCGTTGGTGGTCACCAGGAAGGGAAGGAGGGCCCGAGCGGCTTAACTGAGTAAGGGAGGGATGGAGGGTGAATGAGGCTGGACAGTTGATCCTGAGGCCATGATGAGTACTGGGGAGCCATGGGAGATTTTCAGCAGGTACTGAGGTCAGATTGTGATTTTCAGCAGAGGATGAGATTTAGAAGATGCCCTCTGGCTCCTATACTCTCCCTGGACCTCTAGGTTCCTGTGCCTATGGGATGTGGTCACACTGTGCGCGCACACACAAACAACACACACGCTCACCGGGCCCGTCCAGCTGCTGAGCTTGCAGTTGGGCAACGCTTTCTGCTGAACCAGCCTGGCCCCAGCCTGAGCTCTGGGGAGGACGGGCCATGCTGGCGGGGTGGAGTGGGGTCCCTTCTCAACCATACACCCTGGCAGAGCTGGGGGGGCCTCAGAGACTAAGGCATACAACCCCCTCCCCCAAAGTCAGTACGCATTACACAGATGGGGACCCTGATGCCCAAAGAGAGGCAGAGGCCCGCCTAGAATTACACAGCAACCACCTGGGTCAGGGTGTCCTCACATCCCCAACACATCCTGCACTTTCTGGCTTCCTGGCCTCAGCCCCAAGCCTAGACTGTCCCTCCCTCCCTGCACCAAGCCCCTGATTTCCTCCCCGTATAGCCTTTCTGATCCCCAACTCTGCAGTAGCAAATCAGGGCCGCGGCCCGGTCTTGCCATCGGTGCATAGAGCAGATTGGCCACTCACCCTGGGCGGGTGGTCCATGGAGACCTGGGTGGCAGCCCAGAGCCCCGCCTGCATCATACACGTCAGCCGGTGCAGCTCATGTCCCGGGCTGATCTCAAACAGGCCGAGGCGCAGCTGCTTGTCTCGTAGACGCCAGAGCAGGCCCCGGCGGCCAGAACGCGAGGTGATGGCTTTGCATCCGGCCTCTGGGGAGGGGGCCAGGACCTGGTGGCAGAAGGCACAAGAAGCATTGAGCATGTGGCAGCATCGCAGAGGGGAAAGACATGGGTGTGAGTGCCACCTCCCCTACTTTGAGCCCTCCTCTTAGCTCGCTCTGCCTCAGTTTCCTCGGTTGTAAAATACGGCTAATGCTGGTACCCAGCTCACTAGGTGCTATGAGGGGCCCGCACAGCCCCTGACGTGCAGTCAGCATCCCAAACAGAGTGATGGTTATCATTAGCAGTAAGTGAGAGCATGCAGTTCTGCAGCCCGACCTGGCCTCAGACATCCTCTCACCAGCTGTGTGGCCTTAGGTAAGTCACCTAACCTTCGGGGCCTGGTGTTCTCATCTGCAGAACGAGAACTATAACATCGCGGCAGATATTAGCTGCGGTTACTGTTGAGTTTGAGCTCTGTGCACAGGGACCCTTGATAGGAGCTGTGATGCCAAGGGATTCAGCCAGGTACCAAGTACTCCTCTCATCTATGCTGAGCTCCTCCAGGCCAGCTCGGAAGATCAGCACGAAGCTGAGATCAGCCGCTGACCCAGTGGGCACCCACCATGTGACCAGCCCTGGCTGAGAGCTTGACCTCCTAGCAGCCCTACGAAGGAGAAGCTTTTACTATCATCTCCATTTTCCCTGCGAAAAAACTGAACAAATTCTCGGGGGATCCCTGCCAGACTTTCCCTTCATACCTGCGGTTCCCACGTGGGGCGTGTCCTGGTCCCCGCCCAGCGCAGGACCCCTGCTGAGCTTGGATGGGGGTGTGTCCACCCCGCCCGGAGAGGGGAGGCCCGGCTCCTACCCACTAACCCTTCCCTCTCCTCTCCTCTCTCGGGTCCGCACCTACCTCGTGGGGCCCCGGGCTCGGGGCGGCCATGGCCCCCGCAGCAGCTTCCCGGGCTCTGGCCGCATCCCCCGCCGCCCCGCCGCCCCGCTGCAGGAGCCAGGCCCCGCCCCTGCTTCTGGACCGACCAATCGCGCGTTGCCGTTCACGGCGGCACCCAATCGGAGCTGGAGTCTCCGGCAGTCGCCTGCTGGTCCCGCCCCCGGAGCTGCAGCATCCTTCGGCCAGCGGTGCAGGGCGGTTGGGGCTGCGACGCGGTGTCAGGGTCCCTGGGAGGGAGGACACCCCCCTTCTCCCCAGGGTGGAGGACTCGGGCGCCGCTTGGGAGGGGGGTGAGCTAGATACAGTCCCGCCTACCCACTCGGGCGTGAAATTCCCATCAACCCGTCTTTCGGGTGAGGAAACCAAGGTCTAGAGAGAGAATGACTACCAGCACTCGGGGTCACACAGGGAGTCTGGGGCCTGCCTTTATCCAACACATGTGTTTTATCACACATTATGGGCCAGGAGCCGTGCTAGGCCCGGGGATTTAGTGGTGAATGAGAGGAACACAGCTGCCAGCGAGATGTTTGAAAGCATAAAATTGGGTGATGTCACTCTCTTGCTTAAAGCCATCACCCCTCCCCGTCGTCCCAGGCCCTTCTGCCCACTCTCCAGCCCCATCCCAATATACTCTCCCTCCACCCACCGCACAGCCACAGGGATTCCCCGCTCTTCCTTAGCCATCAAAAACTTCCACACCTTGGGGCTGTTCCCTTTGCTTGAAATCCTTTTCCTCAGTATTCCTTTCTGCACTTTGGTCGATATTATATATATATTTGATTTCAGAGAGGGAGAGGGAGAGACAGAAACATCAATGACAGAAACATCAGTGATGAGAATCATTGACTGGCTGCCTCCTGTATGCTCCCTACAGCCCGGGTGTGTGCCCTGACCAGGAGTTGAACAATGACCTCCTGGTTCATAGGTCGACCCTCAACCAATGAGCCACACCGGCTGGGCCCCTCTCCTCATTCCTGATCACATGACCTTGTTTATTTTCTGTCAGAGAGTGTCTTGTTCATTTGTTTACTAAATCTCCTCCTAGAAGGGGTACCAGCGCCAGGCATGGTGTTTGATAAGTTTAGGTTGAACCAATGTGAGTAGGATGTGCAAAGGACCTCGGTGAGTCCCAGGAAATGAAAGGCCAGCATGGCAGTGGGTGGAGTGAGTGAGCAAGCAATGCAGGTTCTGGTTGGCCATGTAGGGAGAGGGGTGGGGGCTCGGAGAAGCACTGAGAAAGATGCTCAAATATTTTTAGTTGTGTTTTTTTTCTAAGAAGTTTTTATTTTGAGAGGGAGAGAAACATCAATGTGAGAGGGTAACATCAATTGACTGCTTCCTGCATACCCCCCACCAGGGATTGATCCCACAACCTGGGCATGTGCTCTGACAGGGAATCGAACTGGCGACTTTCTGGTGCATGGAATGATGCCCAAATGAGCCATACTGCCCAGGGCTGCTCAGTTGTCTCAAAAAGGTCACTGGTGGTCATTCAGTCAATTGGGGGCGGGGGGCAGAGAGGATAAGGAAGCCCTCCGTGATTTAGGGCAGTGGTGGCTTTGCACCCAGAAGGTGGCTGGGTGTGTGTTAGAATTGACAGGATTTGGGGTCTTGTGGGTGGAGGCGGGAGGAAAGCCAAGGCTTCTGGCTGGGTCAGGACACAGGATAATGACAGTCATGAGAGGAGCAGGCATGGGGGGGGAGGGGGAGCCAGATTGGGGTGGGTGTCTGA